CGCGCTCGCCGCCGCGTGCGCGACCGAGGCCGTGCGCGCGCGTGCCGAGCAGCTGGTGTGCCTCCTCACGCACGCCGCGAGCGTCGTCGCCGCGCTGCCCGCGCGCGGCCGGGCGGCGTGGGCGCAGGAGCTGCGGCACTACCTGGTGGGGGAGCGTGTGGAGGTGCGCATCGCGCACGCGTCGTTCGAGTACGGCTTTGAGCTGCAGGGCGCGCGGGAGCGGCTGGTGCAGACGCCGCTGACGACGGCCGCGTACACGACGCTGGCGCAGGCGCTCGCGGCGCGGCGCGGCGGCGCGCCGTTTGGGCCGGCGGGCACCGGCAAGACCGAGACGGTCAAGGCGCTCGGTGCGGAGCTGGGCCGCCCGGTGCTCGTGTTCAACTGCGACAGCCAGTTTGATCTGCGCGCGATGCGGCGCCTGCTTGTCGGCCTGGGGCGCGTGGGCGCGTGGGGCTGCTTCGACGAGTTCAACCGGCTCGACGAGCATGTGCTCTCGAGCGTCTCGCAGCAGGTGCAGGCGATGCAGCAGGCGCTCGCCGGCGGGGCGGACGCGGACGTGCGGCCGAGCACGGGCCTGTTTGTCACGATGAATCCGGCGTACGCGGGGCGCTCGCGCCTGCCGGACAACCTCGTCAAGCTGTTCCGCCGCGTCGCGATGACGCAGCCGGACGCCGCGCTGATCGGGCAGGTGCTGCTGCGCGTGCATGGGTTTGCCGCGGCCGAGGCGCTCGCGCGCAAGATGGTGCTCCTCTTCCGCCTGTGTGCGGAGCAGCTGAGCGCCGCGCCGCACTACGACTTTGGGCTGCGTGCGCTCAAGGCCGTGCTGGTGCGCGCGGGGCGCCTGCGCCGCGCGTGCGACCTGGACGACGCGAGCGTGATGGCGCACAGTGTGCAGGACACGGTCGGCCCGCGCCTCGTCGCGGCGGATGTGCCGCTCTTTGCCGAGCTCGTGCGCGACGTGTTCCCCGGCGTCTGTGCGGCGCCCGCGCCCGACGCGGCGCTGCGCGAGGCGCTGCGCGGCCACGACGGCGCGTTCGTCCACAAGGTCGAGCAGCTGCACCAGGTGCTGCAGGTCGCGCAGGGCGTCGTGCTGGTCGGCGCGGCCGGCACCGGCAAGACGAGCGCGTGGCGCGCGCTGCTCGCGGCGCTCGAGCGCGTCGACGGCCGCCCCGGCGTCGCGCATGTGATCGAGCCCAAGGTGCTCACGAAGGACGCGCTGTACGGGCACCTCGACCCGACGACGCGCGAGTGGACGGACGGCCTGTTCACGCACACGCTGCGGCGCGCGCTCGAGGCGCGCGAGCGCGGCAGGCGGCACTGGATCGTGTTCGACGGCGACCTCGACCCCGAGTGGGTCGAGACGCTGAACAGTGTGCTGGACGACAACCGGCAGCTCACGCTGCCGACGGGCGAGCGCCTGCCCCTGCCCGAGCATGTGCGCTTGCTCTTCGAGGTCGACAGCGTGGCGTACGCGACGCGCGCGACCATCACGCGCTGTGGGATGGTCTGGTTCGCCAGCGACGCGGCGCACGGGCGGTGGCAGCACGTCCTCGACGCCGTGCGTGCGGTGCCTGTCGACGACGACGTCAGCACCGCCGCCGCCGCCGCCGCCGCCGCCGCTGCGCCGCTCCAGTGCGCCGAGGCGGTGGCGCCGTTCCTCGAGGCGGACGGCCTGCTCGCCGCGGCGCTGGGCGTCGCCGCGACGTTCTCCCACGTGATGGCCCCGAGCGAGGCGCGGTCGCTCGTGACGCTCACGGCGCTGCTGCGCAGCGCGGTGCGGCAGGTGCAGGCGTACGCGGCGCGGCACCCCGACTTTCCGCTCGCGGCGTCTGACGTGCATCTGTATGCGCGGCGCGCCTTTGTGCTGGCGCTCGTGTGGGCGCTCGCCGGCGACGCGCCGGCGGCCGCGCGCGTCGCGCTCAGCGACACGGTGCGGCGCCACGTGATGGAGGAGCTGCCCGGCGCGCGGGGCGAGTCGCTGCTCCTGCACGACGTGAGTGCGGCGCCGGGCGCGCCGTGGCATGCGTGGGCGACGCGCGTCGCGCCCGTCGAGGTGGACGCGCGTGCGCTCACGACAGGCGACGTGGTCGTGCCAACGGTCGATACGGTGCGGCACGAGGGCGTGCTGCATGCGCTCCTCCAGGACGCGCGGCCTGTCGTGCTGTGTGGCCCGCCCGGCTCGGGCAAGACGATGGTCCTGCTCGCGGCGCTGCGGCGCCTGCCGGACGTGGATGTGGTGACGCTGAACCTGTCGTCGCAGACGGCGCCCGACGCGCTGCTGCGCACGCTCGAGGCGCACTGCCAGTACGAGCCGACGCCTGGCGGGCAGCGCCTCGCGCCGCGCGCGCCTGGCCGGCGGCTCGTGCTGTTTTGCGACGAAATCAACCTGCCCGCGCCGGACAAGTACGGCACGCCGCGCGTGCTGGCGCTGGTGCGGCAGCTCGTCACGCAGCGCGGCTTTTGGCGGCAGCGCACGTGGGTCGCGCTCGAGCGCGTGCAGGTCGTCGGCGCGTGCAATCCGCCGACGGACGCGGGGCGCACGCCGCTGCCCGCGCGGCTCCTGCGGCATGTGCCGGTGGTGCTGGTGGGCTACCCGTCGGCCGCGGCGCTCGAGCAGATCTACGCGACGCTCGCGCGTGCGCTCCTGCGCCGCGCGCCCGCGCTGCGTGGGTACGCGGACGCGCTGGCGCGCGGCATGGTGCAGTACTACGAGGCGACGCAGGCGCACTTTACGCCGGCGCAGCACGCGCACTACGTGTACTCGCCGCGCGAGCTGACGCGGTGGATGCGCGGCCTGCACCGCATGCTGCCGGACGACGGCGTGAGCCTCGAGGAGCTCGTGCGGCGCTGGGCGCACGAGGCGCAGCGCGTGTTCCAGGACCGGCTCGTGACGCCCGCGGACCGCGCGTGGAGCGAGGCGGCGCTCGACGACGTGGCGCGCGCCGTCTTCCCCGGCGTGGACGTCGCGCACGTCCTCGCGCGCCCGCTCCTGTACTCGGACTGGCTCTCGCGCTCCGTCGAGCGCGTCGAGCGCGGGGCGCTGCGCTCGTACGCGCAGGCGCGGCTGCGGGGCTTTGCGGACGAGGCGCTCGACACCGAGCTGGTCCTGCACGACGCGGTGCTGGACCTCGCGCTCGCGTGCGACCGCGTGCTGCAGCAGCCGGCCGGGCACCTCCTGCTGGTTGGCGTGGCGGGCTCGGGGCGCACGACGGTCGCGCGCTTCTGTGCGTGGCTGCGCGGCCTCACGCTGTACAGCCTGCCGTGTGCCAAGTCGTACGATGAGGCGCGCTTTGACGACGACCTGCGCGCGCTGCTGCGGCGCGTCGGCGTGCGGGGCGAGCGCGTGTGCTGGACGCTCGACGAGAGCCAGGTCGCGGCGCCGTCGCGCGTGGAGAAGCTGAACACGCTGCTGGCGAATGCCGACGTGGCGGGCCTGTTTGAGGGCGACGAGTACGCGTCGCTGCTCTCGGCGCTGCGCGAGGCGGCGCAGCGCGAGGGCCTCGTGGTGAATGCAGACGACGAGCTGCTCGCCTTCTTCCGCGCGCAGATCGTGGCGCACCTGCATGTGGTGCTGACCATGACGCCGGCGCGGCGCGACGTGGCGGCGCGGGCCGCGGCGGCGTCGCCTGCGCTGCTGAACCGGTGCACCCTGGTGTACTGCTGGTAGCTAGATAGGGCTATCGAGCGTACGCACAATGTCTGTTAGCATGTTGTTGGGGCCCAGGATAAACTCGCCGTGGTGGAACGACGGCCGGTGCTCGATCACGTCCTTGAGGCCGGCGCGCGAGAGGCACTGGATCACGCTCGAGGCCTTGACGACCGTGTCGGCGCCGCCCAGGTAGATGCGCACGGGGTGCTGCCGGCGGTCGGGCATCTCGTCGGTGAGGAGCACGTTGGCGGACCAGTCAAAGTGGCGCATGAGCAGGTTCGCCGTGCCGAGCTCGCGCGCGACAAAGTAGCGCAGGACAAACTCCACAAACGAGTCGGCGGGCTTGTACAGGAAGCGGTAGCAGATGTGCGGCGCCCACAGCTGGAAGCACACCGGGTCCACGAGCAGCGAGCGGCGCACGAGCGCCGGGCCCCACGCGCGCAGGAGCCACGTATGCAGGATCGTGCCCATGCTGTGCGACAGGATCGAGACGCCGCACTGGTCGAAGCCGTGGCGCTGGAGCATCCGCATCACCGCCGCACACGCCTCGGGCGCCTGCCAGGGGCGCAGGAAGCGCGGCGAAAAAAAGTCGTACGACATCCACGGCTGCAGCGGCACGAGCAGGGGGCGCGACGCGCGGCGGCCGCCCGGGCACAGCAGCCCGTACATCACGGTCGCATACTGGACGACGCCAAAGCCCAGGCCGTGCAGGAGCACGGCCGGCAGCGGCACCTCGCCGCGCGCGGAGCGCTCGGGCGTCCAGCCGTCCGGCACGTACACGAGGTACGGCAGGTCGCCGATCCAGTGGCGCTCGAGGCCGAGGCCGCGCAGCACGGCGAGCGCCGCGTGGGTCAGCAAGAACGTGCCCGCGTAGAGGAGCAGCGGGCGCGTGTGCACATGCACGGGATCGAGCGTGAGCATCATCACGCGCTTGGCCTTGGCCTCCTGCGGCGTCAGCTGCACGTCCTCGGGGAACGGCAGGCCACGGCGCGCGGCGAACAGCTCGACGGTGTGCTCGACGATGCGCATCTTTTCGTCGTCCATGTCCAGCTCCACGAACTCCTGGCCAAAGAGCGACCATGCGAGCCAGTCTTGCACGTCGCGGCGCGAGATGTGCTCGGGCGCCACGCCCAGGAACCAGCCTGCCATCTCGTAGCGGAACTGCACGGCGCGGGGGTCGTTGTACGGCAGCGCCTGCGTGAGTGACGGCATCTCCCCCTGGCTGCCGTAGCGCACGAGGGACTTGCGCTCCAGCTCGTCGAGGCCGTCGGTGAGCGACGAGGTGATGGCCTGCACGACCGATCGGCGCGTATTTTTGTGGCCTGCCTGCCGCGCCTGGATGCGCCGCGCCAGCAGCCGGTAGTATGTCGAAAACGCCATCTCAATGAGGGCCCACACAAACAGGCGCCGCAGGCTCAGTACGCGCGCAAGGCGTGGCCGTAGCTGGACGGCCGGTGGCAGCCGCGCCGTGAACAGCAGGCGGCACAGCTCCGTGGGGTTGTGCGCATAGTACGCCCTTATGCCTACGAATGCCAGCACGTACAGCCACGAGAGGGGCACGAGGCCCCACAGCAAGAGCACCAGCAGCTGTGCAACGGCCTTCGGCGGCTGTCGCTTCAGCAGGGCGCGCATCGTCCGTGGAGACCCCGCGTCGTGGAGCGCCGGCGCGGAAAATGAGACGCACGTGGCAACTACAGAGCCACCGACTTGGCGCGGAACGGGAACGGCCCGACCGAGGCCTCCGCCGCGCGCGCGTCGGGGCGGCGTGCCTCCGCCGCCATGCGCGGCGTCTCAAAGCTGTTCATGCCCGAGAGGCCCCAGCGCGCAAGGAGGGCCTTGTCCTCGTCCCACGACGACGTCGGCGTCGTGAGCATGCGGTGGCCCGTGAACACCGCATTCGCGCCCGCGAGGAAGAGCATCGCCTGCTCCGACTCGGTGAACATATGGCGGCCAGCAGCCAGGCGCACAATCGAGGTCGGCAGCACGATACGCGCGGTCGCCACCGTGCGCAGCATCTCCTGGAACGTGACGGGCTCTTGGCCCTCCATCGGCGTGCCCGGGATGGCCACGAGGGCGTTCACGGGGAAGCTCTCCGGCGGCTCCGGCAGGCGGCTCATCTCCCAGATCAGGCCGACGCGGTCCGCCTCGTTTTCGCCGAGGCCCAGGATACCGCCCGAGCACACCGCAATGCCCGCGTCGCGCACATTCGCGATCGTCGCGAGGCGGTCCTCGTACGTGCGCGACGTAATCACTTGCCCATAGTACTCGCGGCTGGTATCGAGGTTGTGGTTGTATGCGGACAGGCCAGCCTCCCTCAGCTGCTGCGCCTGCTCCGCAGTGAGCATGCCAAGCGTCGTGCACACCTCCATGCCCATGCCGCGGATCTCGCGCACCATGTCGAGAATGCGGTTGAAGCCGCGCTTGCGGCCACCGACCTCGCGCCACGCGGCGCCCATGCAGAAACGCGTGCTGCCGTTCGCCTTCGCGCGGCGCGCCTCCTCGAGCACAGCATCGACTTCCTCGAGCTTGGTCGCCTTGGAGTGAGTGTCGTAGCGGCTGCTCTGCGAACAGTACGCACAGTCCTCCGAGCAGCCACCCTCCTTGATGTTCATCAGCGTGCACAGCTGGATCTTGCGCGGATCATGGTGTTGACGGTGCACGCTCGCAGCCTGGAACACCAGCTCGAGAAGCGGCTGGTCAAACACCGCCTGAACGTCGCTGCGCTCCCACGCGCGGCGCGCAGGCGTACGCGGCGCCGCAGGGTCCGCCGAGGCCAGCGCTCCTAGCACAGACGTGCTCTTACCCCGACCCAAAATCAGGGATCCCCCCGTTCGAAGGCGCATCGATGTGCGTGCACACAGCATCGTCATGAGCAGACCTCGACCGCGCCGGGCGCCGCACGCAGCGAGTCCTCCACAGTCACGAGCTTCGGGTATGCCACGTGGCTACGTCGTCCGCGTGCGCCCGCGTGCCCCCTTCTCCCTCTGCGCATGGCGGACGTTTCGGTCTCAGAGGCGCCCCCCGCGCCGGACGCACAGCTCCAGCCTGTGCAGTACCCCACGTTCGAGGAAGAACTCGAGAACCTCGCGTGCCGCTTCATCGTCAACTTGCCGGCGAATGAGCTGACATCCATCGAGCGCATCGGCTTTCAGGTGGAGCTCGCGTACGTACGCGCCACTGACCCGCAGCCACTGGTTTTACCTCGACTACCTATGCCCGCAGAACCCTAATCTTCCGCAGCGTGCGCAGCGCAAGTTTACCGAAGAGCTGCTCCAGGTCGCGTCGCGCGCCGTGCCGCTCATCCAGCTGTACACAAGCAGCGGCCCGTCGAGCCTGAACAGCGCGTACTCCCAGTTTATCGAGTACAAGACGCGCGTGCCGGTGTGCGGAGCCATCATCCTCTCGGACGACTGGACGCGCTGCCTCCTCGTCAAGGGCTGGGGCAAGGGCGCCTCGTGGACGTTTCCCAAGGGAAAGATCAATCAGGACGAGCCGAAGCGCGACTGCGCCGTGCGCGAGGTACGCGAGGAGACCGGCTTCGACGCGAGCGAGTGGCTCCCTGAGGACAGCAAGGACTACTTCGAGCTCACGCAGCGCGAGCAGCGCATCCGTCTCTATGTGATCCCGGGTGTGCCCAGTGACACGCCGTTTGCGACACAGACGCGCCGCGAGATCTCACGCATCGAGTGGTTCAAGCTGGGCGACCTGCCGACCGCGAAGAAGCCAAAGACCCCATCCGCGGAGCGCGGCGGCAAGTTCTACATGGTGATGCCATTTGTCATGCGCCTCCGCCGCTGGATTCAGGCTAACAGGCGCACACACCCGCGACGCCCCGCGACGCCCGCTGCCAAGGACGAGAACCGTATCCAGGTCGACGAGCTCTTTGCGTCGGCAGCGCCTGCCCCGACTCGCAATGCGACGCCAGGCCTGATCAGCCTGCCGCCCTCCGCCCTCCGGCAGATGGCCGCACACGCCAAGGCTTCGACGCCCGAGCCCCGCAGCGCGCCCAAGGAACAGGCACCGCCATCGCTCCAGCCACTGCCGGCACCGCCGTCGAGCGCGGACACACAGCCACGTATGGACGGGACAACGGCACTGCGGGCGCTGCTGGGGATGCATCAGCCGATGCCCTCCGCGCGCAAGCCCGCGGAGGCGGCGCAGATGCCGCGCGCACCGGCGCCGGATCAGAATCGCCACACGCTGCTGTCGATCCTCAACGCATCAGCGCCCCAGGCACTCTCTCCGGCGCCGTCGACATCCCAAGCTCCGCCCCCGACACCGATGGCCCCCGGCCCCATGCCCCACCCTGGACCGGTGGTGCCGCCGAAAACAGGACCGACTGCTCTGCCACACACGCCAGGTCCCGTGCACCCTCTGACTCCCCCGCAGGCGCCGTCTGCGAGCGACTCGCACCGCGCGCAGCTCATGGCTAGCCTGCTGGGCCCGTCACGGCCGCCGGCAGGACAGGCCTCGCCTTGGCCACAGCCGGCCGAGCAGACGCCACAACCGTCCGCCCCACCGTCGCTGCTATCGACGCTCCTTGGCCCGGTCGCTGCGCCGCCCATGGGTCCTCCCGCTCACGCATCGCCAGCTTCCCGACCGGCGCCGCCGCTGTTTGCGCAGGCGCCGCCGCATGCTAACCCCGGCGCCCAGAACCTGCTCAGCATCCTGAATGGGCCCCCGACCCAGTCGCCGCCACCAAGCACGAGACCCGATGCATCGAATGCATTGCTAGCCACGCTTCTGCACGGACAAGAAAAGTAAGCGGGAAGATACCCGAGTACATCTACAGGAGCTTGAAGGTGCGCGTAAGCTGGTCCATCTGTGCGATCGGTGCTGCTGTAAGCGGACCTGACCTACCTGGCCCGATTCCAATCACGGTACGGCTCCCAGGGGCTACCTGTGTACGGCCGCTGGTGTTAGGGACCTTGCACGTACGCGTCCTGAATAACTTCCGCTGGGATCCCCGTCTTTTTAGCATCAGCCAGCAGCTGATCCATGCGTGCCTCGTCTGGGATCTTGATGGCGATCTTGGTTTGTCTGGGTCAGTATGCCTGGCGTACCCTCGGCGTTGCCATGCCAGTACATAGTCTGGTCGCTGCTTCACAGCCGCTTTGTACACAGCCAAGGTAGCATGACTGCATGTGAGCACAATAGACGTACCCGCACTGCGCGGCCATTTTTCCCTTGTCCATCTTTAAATCCATACGCACACCCAAAATCTAGGTGAGTCCAGTGTGTCTACCCACCATTTTGCATTCGCCAGAAGTAGCAGGGTCGGCGTCCTCGTCCATCACATTCAGATCATCCACGTCTTCGTCATCCGAGACCCACCATGTATGCGCCAGGACACCAACGGCAAATCCAAGTGCCAGAACGGCCACATACGTGAGGTGCCTCGAAGCGATCGTACGAGAAAGATGGTCCGTCCAAGAAAGCCACATCGCCCGTGCGCGAAAGAAAACCGCAAATGCACACTGATCTTCGCGCATTTTTTCTGTCCACGGCCCAACCTAGTGGGGTTTCGGCCGAGGAGGCCTGTGCGCCACCGCCCGCCTTTATATAAACAGGGCGCGATATACGCGGGACTTTATCTTACGCCACAATGCAAATTTTTGTT